GACAAATCCAAGGCCACACATCAGTCTGAGAAGAGAGAAAGATCTGAAAAGTGGATTTTGCATGAGACGGGCCCTTTGAGTCTGCACACGTCTCTGTTATTGTCGACCTTCTCCAAAATAATGAACATCACAGTCGTGTTCTGTTTGACTTTGTCCGACATGATCCTGGACTTTAGGCAGATTAATAAATACAAATAAACGACAGAGACGTTCAGCCTCTTCCCTCTGGACGAAGACTCCGGCTGTACAACTGTCAGCTTTATTCAGCAGCAGTTTGATCTTCCACATTCATTCTGTGTCTGTATTTGTGCAACTGAGGCTGTGTTCAGATGCACCTGAAGTTTCCCAAATCTGTTTTTTTGTCTCTATGTTTCTGTATCTGATCTTTTAATGTCTGAACCACACAGATGTGATGTTTTCACATGTGACCAGGACACTTGGATCTGTGCTCCTGAAACTGATCCATATCTGATCTTTAACATGTGACTTGAGTGTGAACAGTCAGGTCACATTCATCCACCTACACGTCATCAACAAGACACAAACGTCACTATTCTGCACTGAAGTAGAGAAAACTGTTCATGATCCATGTGACTGAAGTGAAGCACATCTCCACTCACCACAAAACACCACCACCAAAAACCTGCTCCTTCTCCTTCTCAATCTCCTCCTTAAAACAAGTCAGTTGTTCATGTTGTGGCTCCAGTACGAGAGGAACTTTAAAATCTCCAGGTGCTCGATGCTGCGTCCATGTTTGTTCAACTTCTGTAAACACATCGTCACATCCTCCAGTGTCACATGTGGGACACTTTTGGGGCATTTAAAGTTCACACTGGAGTCACATACAAGATGCATTTAACTGGAAATGTGAACAACCTCGAAAAAACATCAGATTTCACAAAAAAATCAGAATTGAGCATTAAACCTGCAGACTGAACAGAGACTCACACGATCAGAACGTTGATGACGTCGGCTGCAGAGGATCAGTTTTCTGTGTTCAGGTTCCACAATGTGATGAGGTCCTAATTAGGGCTGGGATCATTAAGAAGTTGCAGATACGATACACACCTCGATACGCAGGCCACGATACGATACACACCTCGATACGCAGGCCACGATACGATACACACCTCGATACGCAGGCCACGATACGATACACACCTCGATACGCAGGCCACGATACGATACACACCTCGATACGCAGGCCACGATACGATACACACCTCGATACGCAGGCCACGATACGATACACACCTCGATACGCAGGCCACGATACGATACACACCTCGATACGCAGGCCACGATACGATACACACCTCGATACGCAGGCCACGATACGATACACACACCTCGATACGCAGGCCACGATACGATACACACCTCGATACGCAGGCCACGATACGATACATACCTCGATACAGTGCACTTTTGATTCGATATGATATATTTCAAATCAATTCGATACGGTTCAATAAAAAATAAAGGCTAAATCGTGGCTGTGATACTAAAAGTCTTTGTTAAATCACTTCTTGTGCAAAGTTCATATGAAACACAAACATTTTAATCATCAAAACAGTAAAAATGTCAAATGTGTCACATAAATGAGTTTCCTTTCACTCCACAAACAACAAAACTGTAGCTGTAACAAAATAATTTAGTAAAACACACCTAAAAATACTCTTGGTGAAATATCGATACAGCAGCCCACGATATCGATACTGAATCATTGCATTAAACGATACGATATATCAATATTCCGATATTTTTGCACACCCCTAGTCCTGATTTCAGATGTGCAGTGCAATGGTCCATACGACTCTCCAAACCTCAGTATTTGTTTAGTATCGGCTCCACAAACTCCTCATATTTCTCATATAAAACTTACACTTAAAGTTTGTATGGAGGATTTTTTTAGTTTCAAATTGTCAGTGATTGATTATAGATGCAGTCGCCTTGTAATTATGAGGACCAAAAAAAAGAGAATAAAAATTCATCAACTCTGGACGTGGTGGGGCTAAACATTTGCCAAGTAGATAACGACACTGCCTCGTTATCTGTGAGCTGACAGGCTGTCAATCAAACTCCCTACGTTTCTAGTGTAACTGACTTGTCTGCGCCGCCGGTACGTGGTTTATGTACGACACAGACGCTGTTTACTCCACCAACGCAACAGTTCTTAGCGGCTTTTTTGATCTATATCTTCCTCGCAGTTCGCACAAAGTTTGTTGCGACGGCGACGAGAATCTACGAGCAGTTCGCCGCAAAACAAAGTCCGTTTTTGAGGTGAAAGAAGAAGACAAGAAGAAAAGCAGCGAAGCCAAACTAAGGTGATTCTTGGAGATTCATTCCAGCGATGGTGCGACTGAAGCAGACGAAGAGTCTAAAGACTGAACCACTGGTCCACAAATTACTCCTGGACAGGAAACTTCTGCTTATTATGAAAACGTACTTCATTTCCAAGAGCGACACAAACGTTTTTCAGGACACGAATGTGACGTCCTGTGTCTGAAAACGTCATTTTCAAGGCAAAGAAAGAGTCCACCTGCTGCTGCGTGTTGTAGCTAGTTTATTCGCACTGAATCTCCCCGCTCCGTTCTTCTCGTCCTGCCTAAACCAACACTGTAGTTAGTTGTTTACAAGTCATGTGCAGCGGCTGTAAACAAACCTGTTTGTGGCGTAAGGAGGAGGAGGGAGGAGGTGTTTCTACGTAGGAGCTGTCGGGAGGGGAGGTGGTTTCACGCAGGAGCAACATTTTAGTCGCTGGATTCTCCTTCCTCGGAAAATCCTCTATACAACCTTTAAACAATCCTGATCTTCAGAGTCAGAATCCTCAGGTGGAGCGTCGGTCGTGTCCCTGTCGGTCGTGTCCCGTCGGTCGTGTCCCCGTCGGTCGTGTCCCCGTCGGTCGTGTCCCCGTCGGTCGTGTCCGTCGTCGTGTCGGTCCCTGTCGTCTGTAGACGTGTGACCTGGTTTATGGTTCATATTTCTATCCATATGAAACTAAAACTGACGTCAAGTTCAGCGTCGTCTCTGTCAGAAATAAACTGAAGTCACATGATTTTTTTCACAACGGCCTCAGAAAATGGAGCCGTTATTCAACCCCCCAAGACGTGAGTGTTTCAGGTGAAAGGATTTTCAACCAGAGTCGGATTAACAGGACGAGTTTGTGGAGCTGATCCCAAACAAATCCTGGTTCAACATTTGTGGATTTCTCATGATTTTTCCACCAAACCTCCTGTAAAACTGCTCAAATGGCAACAACAAAAGAGACGACAAAACAAACAAAAACAGGTTTTCTGAATCTTTATTGGATCTAAACACATTGACACTTGTACAGAATCACAGAGACACAGACGTTTGGTGCATGAACAGAAACATTTGAAGCTGATTCTTCTGGTTAAACCAAAAAGTCACTGGGAATGTGGTTTGTTATTTTCAGAATGAGCAGTTTGGACAAAAACACAAACCTTATTTACCTGGTCAAGTCTAAACGTGCACGTGGTCCAGTCCGAGCTCCAGGCGTCTGAAGACTTTAGATTAGAATCCTGCATTTGGTTCCATTTAGATCAGGAGTGTCAAACATACGGCCCGGGGGCCAGATCTGGCCCTCCCAGACCTTTAATCTGGCCCTCGGCTGATTTTCTACTAAAATGTTTTAATGATATTTTCTATTAAAATGGTGTTAATTTTGTGTGGTGTTTATCACAGCAGCGTCTCCAGCGTCTCTGTACGTGGCCCCTCCCACCAGAGCAGCACAAATGAAGACTTGTCTCTTTCCAAACGCTCTTAAAGGACGATCGTTTTGACTGTTGACCGTGACACCCTCATCAGAAAAATGTCCAACATGAGAAAAGTGGAGCCGAGTGCAGGATTTTACAACAAAAATGGACTTATTCCTGTTTACAGACAAGTTCATGTTCAAACTTTGTGTTGAAATTGTATTTTCTTAACCCTCTCCAGGCAGACGTTGCAGATTTGCAACAGCTAAATTCCAAGTACCTATTTGCTCCACATCCAGATTTTATGAGCTTTTTTTACTCAGGAGCCTTTTTTCACATCCAGGCTGATAAACGTGGATGATGCAGACTGTGTAAGAACGACTCCACACAAACGGCCAGAAGTGCAAAATACTTTTTTTGTTTACAAAGGATAAAAAAGTCAGGGTTGTATATTACTACACCATATGATAATTTTCCCCAAATATCAGATTTTTCCTGATACTAAAAATTAATTTGAGCCTGAGAGGGTTAAAGTTTCATGTTGTTCATAATATTATAATATTTTGTAAAAGAAACAGTTC